AAGGTGTCGCTGGGAATTTGGGGGCAAGGTGAGCAGGTGGCACCAAATGCGGAAGACCCAGTAAAGAGGCCATGGAGATGGGCAGAAGAGATAACGATTGCAGGCTCTGTCCATTTAGGGTCTGTTGTCTGCTCATGCAAGGGCCGAGGAGGGGTTTCTCCTCCCCTGACGTATCCCTTTTCCCTGCCCTTTCCCCATTGTGATGTGGCATCCAGTGGGCCCTGTGGAGGGACCTGCTCTGTCTGCCTGATGGGAGCCAGAGACAGACACTGCAGCAGTCTGGAATCCATTCTGGGAGAAATCTTTAACATTCTTCTGAGTCAGGCTGATGGTTTTTAAAAATAGGCTCATACCAACAGGCAACTCAAACTACATCAATCTTGAGGCAGCTAGAAGGGTAAACACAAAGACAAGTTGGGGGAAGCAGGCTCAGAGCTGCCACTCTGGCTGCAAATAGTAATTATAACAATCATACCTCCTTTGTGCAAGCCCTTACTGCTTATACAACACTTGTCACCCACGTGAGAGCATCACAGCCCTAATCAATGCTGTGAGCGTTATTGTTGTTATTTCCACTTTATATTTAAGACAGCTGAGACTCAGGTTGCATCCCTAGCCAAGGGACAGAGCGGAACTTGAACTGAATAACATGTTTTGATCATTTGTTTCTTCATGGTGTAGTTAGTGAAATATGCCTTGTTTGGAGTGAGAGGAGGAGACGGAACATAGAGGATTGAGTGTCCTATTCTGTACGTTTAGGAACGCTTGGTTTGCTGGTTGTCAGCTTGAGGTGAAAGATTGGTTGCTCTGAGATGTAGCTGCCAGCAGGTCAGGCGTGGACCCTTGGGTAGCCCGCCTTTGCTATTGCACCTTTGAACACACAAAGAATATTTCTAGAATTCAAATGTGCATGGACAGTTCTACTCGGAGATAAGTAGGATATCTCTTGGAGCTCCTGAAAGGCTAATAAGCCCAAGGCAGATAGAATTACCTGGAATGAGTGAAGCCTTGAAGTTGGTTTTGAGCAGTTTGTTTTTTGAAATTATGAAATGATTTAGGATCATTATCCTGGTGTGGGTCCCTCAGTTATTGCCCTGACTGGGACCCCCCTGTAAACCCTGCAGGGAGAGATAGCAAGGGCNGAAATATGCCTTGTTTGGAGTGAGAGGAGGAGACGGAACATAGAGGATTGAGTGTCCTATTCTGTACGTTTAGGAACGCTTGGTTTGCTGGTTGTCAGCTTGAGGTGAAAGATTGGTTGCTCTGAGATGTAGCTGCCAGCAGGTCAGGCGTGAACCCTTGGGTAGCCCGCCTTTGCTATTGCACCTTTGAACACACAAAGAATATTTCTAGAATTCAAATGTGCATGGACAGTTCTACTTGGAGATAAGTAGGATATCTCTTGGAGCTCCTGAAAGGCTAATAAGCCCAAGGCAGATAGAATTACCTGGAATGAGTGAAGCCTTGAAGTTGGTTCTGAGCAGTTTGTTTTTTGAAATTATGAAATGATTTAGGATCATTATCCTGGTGTGGGTTCCTCAGTTATTGCCCTGACTGGGACCCCCCTGTAAACCCTGCAGGGAGAGATAGCAAGGGCCGCACCTCCCAGCACTGGCTCTTCTCTTTGTTCTCTCCCTCCAAATTAATTCCCCTTTCCTCTGTGCGTTGTTTATTTTATTGTAGAACCAAAAATCATTTTCTCTTTCTTGTAGCTGATAGACAAATCTAGTGGTGTCTTTTTCTTTTCTCTTTCTTTACTTTTCTTCTTTTTTTTTTCTCCTTTTCTTTCTTTTTTTTGATGAAGATGAATTTGGAATCCTTCTTCCTTGTATACATAATTTCTGATGTTAATGAGTTATGTCTTTTATGTCCCAAAATGTCATATGTGCCCAAGAACTAACTACTATTGACTGGTAAATGGCTAGAAAAATAGAAATAGAAACAGGTGACATGGCACAAGATAAATGTTTTGCCCTTTGGACTGTTTTAAGTAACTGTCTTTGTTTCCCTGTCCTCCCTTGGCTTGTACGTCTCTCTTTTTCCCACCCAGTTCTTACTCAAGTCCATATCCATCTTGTGTAAATTTCCCTGCTTTCTGTTTCCCACATGCATTCCCATCTCGGCTGGGGCTTTCTCTGGAGTTGGTGTGTGGCTGGTGGGCCACTCTCCACCCAGTTTGCATCCGTGGGATTGTCTGGCTCATTGCCCACCAGTTACCCAAGGGTCCTCTTTGTTGAGAAGACAGACACCACTAAGGAGCCTAGTTATTAAAGAGTTTCCTTAGAACTGCTGGGCCAAGTGTTTGAGAATGAGAACCTAGGGCTTCATCATGAGCACCATATTCCCTTCAGTCTCTTTGAAGAAAACTTCCAAGAGAATTGTTTCTTCTGGGAGGCACACAGTCACTAGAGAAGAGTAAGGGGTGGACCAGCTTTGAAAGCAAAGTCCGTCCCTTCAGCCCCAGCAAGATTCATGGCCTCTAACACACGTGACCTCTCTGTTGGCACAGGCGACAAGACTGCCTTCCAGCTGCAGGTTCGCCAGGTGGAGGATTACCCCGTGGACTTGTACTACCTGATGGACCTCTCCCTGTCCATGAAGGATGACTTGGACAACATCCGGAACCTAGGCACCAAGCTCGCCGAGGAGATGAGGAAGCTCACCAGCAACTTCCGCTTGGGGTTCGGGTCTTTTGTTGACAAGGACATTTCTCCTTTCTCCTATACGGCACCAAGATACCAGACCAATCCATGCATTGGGTAAGTGACAAGCTGTCCTTCTGTTGGGCACCTAAGGGTAGGGGATGGGAGCCTCAACAGCCCGCAGCTCTGAGTCAGGCTGGGTGACTGGGGCGAGGTGGTAATGAGCTGGTGGCGTCTGTTGAGTCCTTCCCCATCCTTTTGCTCCTCTCCTAAGAGCTGACTTAGATCTTGCCCAGGGGTTGGGAACACACACAATCGTGGAAACACAGTAAAATAAGAAAAAGTTTTAAATACGAATGAGACTCTAAGTTCTTTAACCATGAAGAGACGCTAGGTGTTGTCATTTGCTGGGTTTAGCTTCTTCCTGGCCACAGGTGTCCACTGGCATTATTCTCACATCGATCCTGTCTGTAAGGCCTTTTTCTGCCAAGTCCTGGTCCCCAATGTCCTCTCGTTGGAGTTTTGCTACTTCCCAGAAGCAATAGCATCTTAACCAAAATTTTTTTCAGTTCATCTGGAATAGTGATTCTGTCTGCTGCTTTTCACCTCTGCCCTCACTGGGCCCTGTTTCCAGACTGACAGGGTGTGTCTCCACTTTCATTCTTCCAAGGCCCATCCACTTACTAAGACACTAGATTGGAAGCTGGCCGAGGATCCAGGACCAGCCCGGGGTGCTTAGCATTTGAATATTCGAGATTATTAGCCACTACTTATTTAGAGCTCATTCTCTAAGCCCCAGAAGGGCAGAACCAGTTGCAGACAGTAAAATTCTTGACAGTGAGTACACGGCACACTGAAAAGCTGTGTGTGAGACAGGAAATCCAGTGAAGAATGGGAGTTTTGAAGGAAACATCAGGCCTAAGTTATGTAAATCTCTGTCCTCTGAGCTTGGCAGTACAGTGAGGAGTCACTGCTAGCTCAGCGAGTAGCCTGAAGTTTATCTCCCGGCATCTAGGCAGTGCAGCGTCCTGCGTCTCCTGGGAGATCCCCACTGCTCCTTGGAGAGAACAACACAAGCCTGGGGTTGNTGGGGCGAGGTGGTAATGAGCTGGTGGCGTCTGTTGAGTCCTTCCCCATCCTTTTGCTCCTTTCCTAAGAGCTGACTTAGATCTTGCCCAGGGGTTGGGAACACACACAATGGTGGAAACACAGTAAGATAAGAAAAAGTTTTAAATACGAATGAGACTCTAAGTTCTTTAACCATGAAGAGACGCTAGGTGTTATTTGCTGGGATTAGCTTCCTCCTGGCCACAGGTGTCCACTGGCATTATTCTCACATTGATCCTGTCTGTAAGGCCTTTTTCTGCCAAGTCCTGGTCCCCAATGTCCTCTCGTTGGAGTTTTGCTACTTCCCAGAAGCAATAGCATCTTAACCAAAATTTTTTTCAGTTCATCTGGAATAGTGATTCTGTCTGCTGCTTTTCACCTCTGCCCTCACTGGGCCCTGTTTCCAGACCGATGGGGTGTGTCTCCACTTTCATTCTTCCAAGGCCCATCCACTTACTAAGACACTAGATTGGAAGCTGGCCGAGGATCCAGGACCAGCCCGGGATGCTTAGCATTTGAATATTCGAGATTATTAGCCACTACTTATTTAGAGCTCATTCTCTAAGCCCCAGAAGGGCAGAACCAGTTGCAGACAGTAAAATTCTTGACAGTGAGTACACGGCACACTGAAAAGCTGTGTGTGAGACAGGAAATCCAGTGAAGAATGGGAGTTTTGAAGGAAACATCAGGCCTAAGTTATGTAAATCTCTGTCCTCTGAGCTTGGCAGTACAGTGAAGAGTCACTGCTAGCTCAGCGAGTAGCCTGAAGTTTATCTCCCGGCGTCTAGGCAGTGCAGCTTCCTGCGTCTCCTGGGAGATCCCCACTGCTCCTTGGAGAGAACAACACAAGCCTGGGGTTGTAATGTGGCTGTTCCTGTGCCTGATCCAGCCTGTACATGTGCTTTGTTGGTCTTTCTGTTTTAATGGCACCCAGGAACCAACAGAAGATTTAACCAAGAATAACCACGATTTCTAGGTTTTCTGGAAAAACTACCAAGTCTAGTAAGGCTGGGCTTGTACCATAGGTTGCTTGGCTGCCAGTCCCTACCCCTTCCTCTTGTCTTGCAGCTGACCTGTTTCACTTGTTTGCACTTCATGCCTGGGCTCAGTAGATGGTTGTTTGTGATCCTTGTCTAACTATGGAAAACCACAGAGCTTTTCAAGCTCCAATTGCACAGTTAGATTTTTTTTTAGATTTTTTTTTCAGTTAGATTTTTCTCTTCTGTGGTGGTGGGAGCAGCAACAGCAGCCTCCAGGAAGTTTGGGGGAGATGGGAAAGTCAGGAGAGGTGATATAACCACCTGTGCAGGACGTCTCAGAGAAAAGAGCCAGTATGCATGGGGCTTTCCTGAGGTGTGTCCCTTGTCCTTCTGCTCCATATGTTTCTGCTAAAGGATCAAAATCCTAGACTCAGTCCTTCCCATCTTTGAATGTAGGAGAAATGCCACATCTGCAGTAAGTAGCAGCAGGGCTGCCATGGAAAGAAAAACGGCATAGAGTAATTAATCATCAGATTAAAGACAGTATAATTACTATCCTGAGTAATAGGAATCATTTCACTGGGAAGAGTCACTTGATATCAATGATACAGGATTTGAAGGATTCATCTGGCTTGTTATTTCCAGTTCTGAACACCTTTTCTTTTGTTAGAGGTATTGGGCTGTCGTTGAAACACATATCATGTGAAAATATTTGCAAGTGAGATAATACATTTTGTTCTTCATTATTTGTATTTTTTCTTACCTTTTGTATATTTCTTCCAGGAAGTCATAGTATTCTTTCACCACCTTGAGGGTATTATTCTATTGTCTTCTGGCATCTCTTGTGACTGATACGAAATCTGCTGTCTGTCTAATTGTTTCCCTTCTTTCTGGTGCTTTTTAATATTGTCCTGTGCTTTTCATAGTCTACAGTGATATGTACTCCATGTGTGTAGGTTGGATTTTACTTTTATTTACACTGTCTGTCTAATTGTTTCCCTTCTTTCTGGTGCTTTTTAATATTGTCCTGTGCTTTTCATACTCTACAGTGATATGTACTCCATGTGTGTAGGTTGGATTTTACTTTTATTTACGTTGCTTAGCACTTGGTCTGCTTTTTCATCTGAGAGCACATCTTTATTCTTGAAAATTCGCAGATATTATTTCTCCGATTTTTTCTCTCTCCTATACTCTCCATTTTCTTTCTGACACTTTTAGGTGTCAGTTGGCTTTTCTCATTCTAAACTTCATGTTTTAAGATTTTTCTTCCATAATTTCTGCCTCTTTTTTTCTCTTAGCTGCACAGGAAATAGAAACTTGTTCCATTTTACCATTTTGTTCTTCAGTTGTTTAATTCATACACTGAAATTTCATTTTTTAATTTCAGTGACTATATTTTTCATTTTCATAATTTTTATTTGGTTTTTTTTAATACCATTCTTTTTTTCAAACTATTTTTTTCAGAGCCTTCTGTTTTGTTTTGTTTTTCTAATAATATCCTGTCTGGCTTTTGGTTTCTATTCCTTCCTCTCCTTGAATGTTTTAAGTATCTGAAAACATTCTTAAAGTATTTCAAATCATTCTGTTCTCTCTGTTTCTTGATTTGTGGATCCTTTGGTGGGTTGGATTTGCTAACATTCCTTCACAGTTTGCTTCTCATGGGACTCATAACTTCCTCATTAGCTCATCTTCCTCAGAGGTGCTTTTCCATCTGAGGATCTCATGCTCTGGACTGCTGGCATCCCTGCAGAGCAGTTTTACATTTGCTGCTGCGGGGAACCTCCAGGTTTCACTGTAGGACTAATTTTCCTGTTAATTTATCAGTTAGGGGAGTTCTTCCGCCATAAAAGTAGTGAATTCTGATTGCTCAAGTCTGGAGTTACGATTTTTACGGGTGATTCATCTCGCCTGTGGCCTGAAGCAGATGGTAAACTTCCTTGCTTCTTTCCTAGGCCAGTAGCTGGAATTTTTCCATTTCTGGTTTTAGTGGCATGACAGCTCTTTGTAGTGCTCAGCTTTATGCAGAGAGCCCTGTTCCAGTGCTCAGCCCTGGACAGGCCCGAGGCTCATCATCTGTTCTGGCAGAATTCTGCTGCAGCCCAAGTTCTGACACATCGGGAGCTTCTTGGCATGAGCTCCTGCTCACTTCTCACCTATGGTCTGAAGTCCATTCACTTGTTGAATGGTTTCTCTTCATTTCTGGTACCCTTTTAAGCTTCCAGTCTTGGCTATATATTAAAATTTCTTAAAATTATATTTTACCTGGCAGTTGTGTATATTTAGAGTAAGAAGGAAGCCTTTCCATGTCAGCTCAATCCATAATAATATCCTGAAGTATGGTCTTCTCAACTTGCCTAGATCTAGTATCTTCAAATTGGATTTACTTTTTTATACATATACACTCTCCCCAGCTCTTTAACCATATATATTTTATTTTTTATCTTTCTGGTTAATAATCCTTAATTTAGTAACTCCCTATGCATGGCCCTAATCTGGGGTCCTACAGCACAGACACAAGGTAAGGGTGGGATAGTCTCTTGGCATGAGACCCCAAAACAACCAGATCTTCAGGCCACTCAGCTCTTCCAGGGCTTAAATTGAATAACTAGGCAATATCCTAGTCTAGTGACAATGGAGACATTCCCAGGGTTCATCTGACAAAGCTGTTTTCTTCTCAGAAGTAACTCTGATTTGGTTATAGTAAATTCTCTGCAATGAAGGCTCCTGTCTGGCAGACACATTTTCCTGTTCCTAATTGACTTAACAGTAATTCTGCACAATAAAAATGTATCTGCTTATTGCTGTTTGAAGGAGCAAAAGGGAAGAGGTGAAAAGTGCTGAGCTTTCGATGAGCTTTTCACAGCTTTTCTGATTTTCTTATTATATAACAATTATTCTTTGGATTCCCTCTTCCCTTTCCACAACCAACCTAACCAACTGTGAATATAGACATGCACTTGAAGTCCTAAATCATGGACCAGGGCAATACAGAAGAGTGTAGGAACTTGGAGGAAGAGAGACAGGACAGTGAGAAGTTTGGATATATTTATTTCCTTCTGGGCCTATCCATTTGTCAAATAGCTACAGATAGGACCTTAGTTCCTCCTTCTAGCTGGAGTGTAATTTCCATGACCATTCTCTTTATGACTAAATGTGGAGGTCGTGAAAAGTGTGATTGGTCTGAGGCATGGGTTAAAAAAGAGTCTGACCTGTCTAAGCACAAGGTGTTCATGAAGATTTGGGGAAAGGAGAAGGAGAAAGACAAAGAAAAGGCAGGTGGGGAACACCTCTAGCTGCTGCCATCTGTCTGGAGAGAACAGTGGCCACTATGGAAGTAGGCTGTTTCTGTCCAGAGTTGGCTTGCTGCAAGGGACGCTGCTGCATTGCTGTGACTGTGGTGGATGGAGCAGGGACTATGGCCCTGAAGGGAAACGTAATGCCCCTTAGAGAGCCAGAGATTGCTTCTTTGCAGAGGAGGGGAGCCTGCCTAGACCTGCCCTGGTGAGGCAGCTTCTTGGTGGCAGTTAAGGCAGGGTCCTCCTAGCAGTTGCTAAGCCTGTTTCCCTTCCCCTGCACTCAGCTTGAATTGGATTACAAAGCCTTCCCCCCAGGCCTCTCTGTCAGGGCTTGTTTTTCGTCTTTTGTTCTGAGAGAGAGGCTTCCCTAGCACGGCCATAGACCCTGCAAGGTCTGATCCAGCTCCTCCCCTGCCTCCCTTTGCCCAACCTCAGCCTGACTCTGCACTGCAGCCCCTGGCCCTCCTCGGTGCTTGGGCTCCCTGTGCTCCCTCCCACCACAGGGCTCTTGCACATGTCCTTCTCTCCGGCTGCAACACTCTTTCTCTCTCCCTTGACCTCATGAACCCATTGGTAAAACAATGTAAGGCCTCTCTTCCTATTTCATCAGCTATACGTCATGCCGAAGCTCCTAGAACTGTAATTGGAAGCCAGCTGCCTCCAGGAATGGGGCCACTGGGGATCTCCACAGTAGACTGAGGCGATCACACAATATTTCAGGAGAAAGGCATGGAATTAACCTACTGTTGACATGCAGTACTTCATTCCAGATTTCCAGCTGTAACTTTCTGTTTGAAGAAGCTTAGTTTCTAAATGATTTCTGTTACATCTAGGAGAGCTGATAGTTTATCACTGGAATATTCCTGTTCCATTTTGCATTGGTTCATGCGCCAGCACATTCGGTGGTCACTGAGCTAAGGGTTAATGTGAAGAGGTTATGTGATCCTTTGTCACACGGCAGCAGCAAAGTTTGTGTGAGAGGCTGGTTTCATAGAGTAACTCTGCATACATTGCCCTCGTGGACACTGTCCTCCCTCCTCAGCCCACAAGCATTTCCCCTCTGCTCTGCTAGCGCCTGCCCACACCCTGGTCCTTCGTACCCTTCAAGGCCCATGTCCAGCCTTCCTCCAGGTGCACAGCCTGCTATTACCTCTCGTTCCTTTGAGCCACTCATCTGTACCACTCACTTACAACTTGCCTGCAGTTTAGGGCTTGATGTTTGGAGAGTAGGGACTGTGTTATTTATCTGTGCTCTGCCTGCTGTACCTGTCCCAGGGGCATGTGGTAGGTGCCAGGTAAATATTTGTTGGTGTCCCTTAGGCAGTCCTTGTATGCACAGAACAGTTGGTTAAGATTTAGAGACAGTGATGGAAAAGTGACTCTTCTCTTCTTTCTTTCTAGTTACAAGTTATTTCCAAACTGTGTCCCATCCTTTGGGTTCCGCCATCTGCTGCCTCTCACAGACAGAGTTGACAGCTTCAACGAGGAAGTTCGGAAACAGAGGGTGTCCCGGAACCGTGATGCCCCCGAGGGGGGCTTTGATGCAGTGCTCCAGGCGGCTGTCTGCAAGGTGACTTTCTTTCTGGTCCTGTCCCTGCACCCGAGGTGGAAAGCATCATTTTGGATGTTGGCACTTATGCGGGGGATTGCAGATTTTGAGGTGCCCAGCCTGTGGCTTCTGTCCATTTTTACATCAGGGGATGAGCTCAGTGGAAACTCAGGGAAATCTCAGCAATGAAATCAGCTGGAGCTCAGGATGGATTGGGCTGATGCGGCCTGTGGCTTCTGTCCATTTTTACATCAGGGGATGAGCTCAGTGGAAACTCAGGGAAATCTACAGCAATGAAATCAGCTGGAGCTCAGGATGGATTGGGCTGATGCATGTCTGTGTCAGGGTGTGGCTCTGTGCAGTGGGATACTGCCTTTGCCAGAAGACAGCTGTTCTGTGTTTATACATTTGGCTATTTTGCTTCTTTTCAGGGGAAAAAAGTAAAGGTCAAGCCATAT